CAGCCAGCGTTCGCTGGCGCACTAAAAGGGACCAATTCTAAATTGTCTGTGCTTTCGTGGTGCACTTTGAGGGGCCGATACGTCAGCTCTTGCCACCCTAATTAACGGGACTAGTGACAGTGGGAAAACATGGGGCAGTGCTCACTGCATCCTCAGGCTCACTCTCACTGCCCGTGCAGCTAAGCGAAGACAGGCGCAAGCAAAAATCACTAACTGGCACACCTTCCACCTGTAACAAACATTCTACACTCTCCACACTGAGGGGTATGCCAGATGGGCCAACCAACTTCAACAGTTGCAGAAACAGCACACCCGCAATTTACACACCTCCGAAGCAATTCCTGCGATAGACCCACACTTGTTACAGCTGTACCATTTCTTTTACATCCTACACAGGAGAGCTTTTGGAAACCGTGGTTCGAAAATGCACAGGTGCCTTTGCTGACACAATGTATGGCTTCCGACCACACAAATCAGCCTAAAACATTTCACTACAACTTCACTGTGAAGTAATACAGCCTGAAACTACGCGCCGCAATGATAAGGTCGTCCTTACCCTAGACCTGTAAGGCACCTTCAACAATGTAAAACAGAGTGCTATCCTAGCTAATCTTAACACCACAAACTGCGCTGAGAGGACCTTTTCCTACATACGAGATTTGTCTCATAGTGAGGCCGCATTGAGGACGACGAATACGGTCCCTACCACATGGGCACGAGGGCACAGCACAAGGAGCGGTTTTTTCACGGCTACTTTTTGACATCGCCTTGGTGTACGTTCTGAGAGAGCTGGCTCGGATCTTGGGCATCTAATATGCAATGTATGGCGTCGATATTTCAATATGAAGCACACAGGGAAACTTGGGAGAAATTGAGGCCAGTAGTCGAACAGGCTGCCTCCCCTCTTGACTCATATACGTGAGCATGCGGGCTCCAGTGAGCCCTAGCTAAATCTGAATTTGTCCATATCAAAACCAACCTAAAATACAAAACACGCATCTGCCTGACCCTCTCAGGGGCACCTATTCGCGAGGCAGAAGAAATCAGAATCCTTGGCTAGTACATTCACAGTCGCCTCAAAATTGATACAACTATCGCCAAACTTTAAAAGACCAGTGAACTAGTGGGACACATGATTCACCACGTCTCAAATAAGCGTGGAGGACTGCCGGGTAGGGATGCACTTCAGCTTTTCCAGGCCTTCGTCACCAGCAGAGTCCTGTATTCCATTCCCTGTCTACGGCTTGCGAAACAAGATACCAAACGCATAGACGCAATAATACGGAAAGCCACCAAACAGGCTCTGTGTCTCCCAATCACCACATCCGATGCGTGTTTCACCACACTTGGTGTGATCAACTCGCTGCAGGAGCTTATCAAAGCCCATCTAGAAAACCAATACACTCGACTTGCACAGACGCCTTCAGGGTAGCACCTCCTCGCTCGTCTCTACATACAACACGACCTTGAAACAGGACACGCTCAGAATGCCGGAGATTTGGAGACACAAACTTTTTGCACAGCCTCTACCGAAAAACATGGACTCGGAGCTGTACCAGGAAAGACGGGAAGCGCACTGCATGTTCAGGTGCTGGAAACGCGGTATGGCAGTAACACAGGGGTTTACTATGTGGAGGTCGCCGGACCCAGACTGAGGGGATACTATACGGCAGCAGTATTCCATAAGAAAATGCAGGTGGATGGCCTTTTCTTTGAGGCTCGCAACTCAACAGAGGCGGAAGAGGTCACTGTAGCATAAGCTTTCGCACTACGCTTTTTTTATGTAATCATTACCGATTCGCTTGCACCCACTAATCGCTTGCACCCGCTAATTGGCAGGAGAAATTTCACCAGCACGAGGTTCACCGAACCCACCCCAAAATGCGGGGGATGGACCCCAGGTCATCAAGAATTTCTGAGAGAATGAGACCCCAGACGCAGCTGGACCGCGCAACCATTGTTGCTCACATACAAGGATATTGTGCAATAATATCGCTCCCAGCATCGCCGGTATGCACCCCCTGCCCAGTGTCTGAATAGGGCGGGAGAAAGAATTTTACACTGGCTCCAAACAAACACGTTGCTATTCTTGGCGATATTACAATATTTTGACTTTACAGTCACCGGCCGGTTCAAGAACTGTGGGCAGACAGCCGATGTCTACCACATGCTGTGGGCCTGCCAGCTAAACAGCCATTTCTCTCCTCCCCAACCCTACCCGAAGACTGGGAGGTGACGCTGCTTAACTGTTCGGACCCTGGGGCCCAACAGGTCCTGATTGCCCGAGCAAAAGCAGCGGTATTGTCCAATGACGCCCTGGACTGATGATGTCACCTAGTCTGTAAGGCCCTTTCGGGGGCTCATACACTCTCTTTTATAATAAAGTTCTTCCCCACCACCACCATTTGTTCCCTTAAAAAGAGGAACTGTATCTCAAAATTTGCTCTTACATTTTGTTATGGCCGTAATGGCCAATTGTTCTCCCCACAACAGTTGGTGAACACAAATTTTTTTTGTCGAGACCCGTCGAAATTGCACCAAGCAATCGAGATGGCACTGACTTGTTTGGATCATAACTACTGTTGTGGACTTCAAAACGAATTTAGATATTCAAAACTTTCTAAATTACAAAACATGCGTGCTCTTCACTGCTACGATATCACATACACAAACTTTGCCATTAAATTATGCGTATTATTTGCTTAGTCATGACAATTTTTTCGTTATATTAATCTAGTCTCCAACTACACATCATAAACACAGAGAATAAAGATTGCCTGGTCCTAGTCTTATCTTTTTTAACTCGTTTGCTGTCAGGTGTTTCCAGCTGCAAAGCACCTCCATTGTTGGCTTGGTTTCACAAATATCAGGAAAATTTGAAACGCATAGAAGTAGCATGTCGCAGTCGAGATGACAGATATGAATGGAAAAAGGATACAACTTCATTTGCTGCTAAAAGAAGCAAGTGTGCAAAAGCGGGAATCACGTCATATTTTTGTATATTGGAGAGGCAACAGTGCACACTCCTAAACTTGAGGTGATGTAGCAGACACACCAACAGTATGCCAAAAAGAACCCTGCAAACCTGTGGCAGCTGGCAGAACAACCCTTGCAACCAATACAGTCGAATTTCGATGACACAAATTTGAAGAAAGCACACAAAATGTTCATATCACCCGAATTCGTATGAACCAAAAACAAGTTCAAGGTGATCATGAAGATGAACAAGAACTTTAATGAAGTCTACTACTTGAAGAAAAAAAGTTGATCATCTTTTGAACTTTCCTGCTTTCACCGCCTATCAATAAAGTGCCACGGTTTCCTCACTGCTGCTGCTGGCACCATAAGGCACGTTCACACTTGGCATCAAAGGGAGCGCAAGTGACAAAACTTATTGAAAATTCCCTTGCGTTGCCGCTTAAGCATGTAGAAAAAGGTGCAGCAAAGTCGACAAGCAAAAAAATCAGTCCTTGGAGAATTCACACTGGGAAATTCAAGCGAAAACGCCAGAATAGCCGCAAAACCATGTCTGCACCCGTTCACATTTGTTCACAATTGTTCTGCCACTGCCGCCACTTGAGAATTGGTTCCCAAGCATTAAAATTAGTACAGAGTCCTAGTTATGCATGCAAAGCACTGAAAAGAAACAGTTTACACCTTTACAAACGTTGTTTCAGGGGATATGTCACAAGAAACGAAATGAGCGGACACACTAGCAGCGGTGGCGACGGATTCAGCCGGCAGTGCAAAAGCAAGAGACGCTAGGGCATGCCGACTTGCTGCTGCTGCACCTTCTACTTCCGGTGTTCGCAGCAATCACAATTCAAACCAGGCTCTTCATGAACGCGCTTTTTTCAAGAGCGTGAGCTTTATCGTGCTGTGTGGGTAGTTCGCAATTGAACCAACGCTAGCCACTGCCGATGCCACGCTTTTGCCACCATGTTGAATGTACGGCTGGTTGTTTACATCCTGTGGTTTGAAAGCTAGTGCAGCCGGTGTAGCCAAAGCCATAGCAGGAAGGTGATCCGCTATTGCATGGTGGCAAAACTGGTCTGAGACGAGTTTTTTCGCGTCAGTTTCACGGCATGATTTTCTGGCCACTTTTTTAACAGCCAAGCAATGGAAATTCCGGCGAGTTTTGCCACAATCGCTCTTTTCAAGGCCAAGTGTGGACGGGCCTTCCTCCCCCACAAAAGCCGCGTTGCGCCGCTCGCATGCAGTGGTCAATTGAGTGTTCGTATCATCCGCAGTTTCCAGGGAGACCATTCGTAGAACACTGAATTACGGCGTATTTTACATAATGTAGTCCATACGAAGCAACCTTAAAATTTGTATCATAGCGAAATTCGCATCAATCGTAATCGTATCATCGAGATTCTACTGTATCACACAAGCACTGCATGATCGCTCAGCTAAAAGGGTAGCGTGCACGAAGTGACTATACTCTTCAGCAAAGGGTCACGCCACTGTGGGGAGCCAACTCGAAAACATACTAGTATGTCAGTGACAGCAAAAAGGTTGAACTTATGGTGTCCAAATCCACGCCCCAGCAAGTGCTCTTTCTGAGCAACAGAAATGGATATTAAATTTGCAGGCAGCATACACTGGAAACCTCTGTGAAGCCAGAAACAGCTGGTTAGCGGACAGCACTTTTCCACCTAAAAAATTTCATTGACACGTGTCTATATCCAACTCGTGGGAAATGCTCACCGAACCCTGTATGTGTTGACTCCTTCAATCACGGAAAACTAACTCGTATTGTAGAGAAGACAGATATACTACAGGGGAAGGCTAAAACCAAAGATCAACCTTTATTATAAAGAGACATAAAATAATTAAAACAGAGCCTGTGCCTGAACCAAGATCAACAGCGGTACCTGGAGTAAATACTTTGACAAAAGGACCATAGGTTCCCTCCTCGAAATGTGGACTCGGGGACAATTCTTGCCGACAGCTCTCTATAACATTACTGTAAAGAAAAAGAAAACCTTGCAACTCACCTGAATTGCAACATTTATGTCATTGTTGGCCCGTTGCAGAGCATGGCGTGCATTAGTTGCAGGGAAGCCCATTGCCTTCAATGCATCGTAGTTCTCCACACTAACCCACTCTCCGGTGCAAGTCTTTCCCAACCTGCGTTTCCGAAGCTCCAGCTTCCTCTTTTCCTGTTCTTTTTCCTGTTGCGCTTTCTTCTCATCTTGCCGCGTAATGATGTGCTGCACTGCAAGATCCACGTCACCTCTAACTGAACGCAGTGCCAAGCGGGAATCAGATTCCGAGAAACCCATCGCCATGACCTAAAAAGGAACATGAATTATGCAGCAAGGCTAACCAAAAATGCAATGCACAGTATGGTTAAAATAAAATAATGCCAAAACTTAAAGGATCATCAAAAGAAACTGCTCACAAGCCCAGGAATCAAGGGGCTACTCCTTCAGTGGCCATTGTAGGCATGGCATTCTGTGGCTGAGCACGCAACGAGTTATTTCGGGACCACGGCAGCGACATTCCCATGAGGAAAGCATAGAATAGCAGTTGCAAGTTACTGAATCGACAGGCATATAAAGAATCGCCAGTGGTAAAAATTAATCTGGAGCCCCCACCATACGGCACTCCGTTATAACCCACTATGCCGTTTTCAATACATTCCAATAATTTCATGGTTCACACTGCACCTGCCTATGTCAAGAGATCAGAGCTATATAGCACCCAAATTTAACTTCATGCTGCTAACTAAAGCTGCAATAAATTTTCACGCTACAGTGATTCAAATCTTTGGTGTTACTTTCAGTTGCACAAACAATGTAATAATTTCGGTTCATTACAATCAATGAAAAGAAAAGAGATCTGATGCTTGTAAGGTTAGTTATCACGAGTGAAAGGTTTGCTTGGCTTGGTTATGCAAAGTATGGCATAGTGATTGACTTAAGATTAACTATGACCCCCTAGAGGTTCTTCATAGTCTACCTAAAGCTAAGCACAAGCGGATTCTTTGCATTTCGCCCCTATAGAAATGCAGCCGGCAAGGCTGGAAATCAAGTCCACAGCCTCAAGCTTAGTTGCACAACACCTTACATGCTGGTTTCAGTCAAATTAACACTGGTTTCAGTCAAATTATGAATACATTTTCATATGATGCTGTTTTACTCATCAAGTTAGTGGCAACAAGTCTCATCACATGTTTCAAGCATTATAGAAAATTTCACACGTGGCAGGGTGGACTGGTGAAATGATCAGTCTAGGTGCCTCCCACTATCGCAAGGTCACACTTGAGGAGTCAATTGATAAATGCAGGACATCAGATGTGCCATTGACCAGATGGAGAATGACATGTTGTATATTTAAAATGAAGAGAAATTCAGTGATAACGAATGGCATTAAAAAATAATTTTTAGAGCTTAGCTCAGTACCCTTGAGGAGCAGAGCATGCACATGACAAGAGACCGGAGCAACAAGGACGAAGGCTTCTTAGCTGCCTAGGCAATCACTCCCCCTCCTCGTACCATGCTCTCCACCACTCCCTATTCAATTGCTCCACGTCTTGATCCCCATTCGCAACGCTGACTTTATTCTATCTTCAGTCGGCGTTCAGTTGAAACTGGCTAAGAAAATTGACGAGGAAAGTAAAAAATGCAGAAATGTCGTTCGCACGAGAATGATGATTGATATGATTGATATGTGGGGTTTAACGTCCCAAAACCACCATATGATTATGAGAGACGCCGTAGTGGAGGACTCCGGAAATTTCAACCACCTGGGGTTCTTTAACGTGCATTCAAATCTGAGCACACGGGCCTACAACATTTCCGCCTCCATCAGAAATGCAGCCGCCGCAGCCGGGATTCGATCCCGCAACCTGCGGGTCCGCAGCCGACTACCTTAGCCACTAGACCACCGCGGCGGGGCGTTCGCACGAGAATGCAACAGAAAAAACAGGAAATTGGCTAAAACGCATTTTAGTGCCAAAAGTCAATAAGCTTACATTACTGACCGTTTCCCTGCAGCAATTTCATAGCTCTTGACTCGCACAGCAAAAAGGGGTCATCACACTCCCCGAAAACAAGCATATTGCTGTCTAGGGCATTCAGCATATCCTGCAGGGTCGTTCTTTTCTGCAGGTGTTTATGTCATGGATCATCAGAATCCCCCACTTCACATACGAAACTCCATGTGGACTTGGCTAAGTAGTCTGCGATTAGGAGTCAGCAAAACAAGCAGGTGTCTGCGCATGAGCCCATTGAAATTTTAACACTAGCTCACTACAAAGCCACCTCAGATTTTTTAGGCTTGTTTTTTTTTCCCTGTTTTTTCTTCATTGTTTTTTCCTTCATTTACCATTTATCAGCACCCTGTGCGACAATCGCAGCGAGTTTGTACTGTTCCTACAAAGTTTGGTTTCAACAAGAAACACCCGAGAGTGCAGACTCGAACACGTAAATGCCACGCGCCAGCGAGCTGTTGCATTCTGTGGTAGCTGTAACGTAAAATCTTTCAGCTTTCCCGCCTCGTTCATGACACTAGAAAAACCTTGCTAGCCACTATAGTTTTAACTGCACTGGTGTGGCCTTGCTACACTATTGCTACCAAAGTATGCTGCAGCACTCCCTCCATTCAAAGATGAGCCAGTCAAAAAGCACGGGAGCTAGTCTAGCATGTAAGTAAAGAATTATAGAAAAGAAAACTACACACACAACATCAATGATCCCAGAGACTCTACAGTGAGCATACCTGCGCCAATTTCGAATCGTGAAGCTTGAGCTGTGAAATGAGAGTAGCTGCCTTCTGTAGATACTGTCGTGCCTGAGGGTAATGCTCCTGATGAAAGGCCACAATACCTTGCAGAAGATGTAATCGGCAGAAGAGTGCTGCCTCTTTGTTTGAGCCACCCTAGAGACAAAAATGATCACACCTAATTAGCAAAAAATGTTCAAAGCAAAAGATATTCTGAAATTACATTTTTGAAGCCCCGATAAGCTAAGAAAGCCTTCTTACCAGCCTCAACATACATACTACCAATATTACTATTACCACCAAATGACGTAATCCCATCCCTATGTAGGCCTGCCCTGCTCAAGGTAATTTCATTTCTATAATTCTTTACTTACGCGCAGTCTCCAATACATGAGAAAAGTTATGCAAATTATTACATGAATGAAGATACCCTTAAGGGCACAAGGTATCTATACCTCTATACCTATACCTTTCATGTATTTTAAGGCTTCTTTAAAGGGACACTAAAGGCAACTAGTAAGTCAAGGTTGATTAGTGAAATAGCGGTCCAGAAACTAGTAAGTGTTACTTTTGTGCCAAGGAAATAATTATTTGGAAATAAAATGATGTTTTAGTGGTCCGCATCGGGTTACCGCACTTCAAATTACCAGCCTCAAGCGGAACGTCTCACGCCACTGTTGCCGTGCACAACGTTGCCCGGCTTTACTGCGCAGCCGCCAACACCAGTAGCAGCAGAATGAAAGTAGCAGGAGCCACAGCAGCAACAACGGCTATTGAACAATTTCCTGCCATGGCCTCCGAAATGGCAGACGTGCTTGGTTGAATAGGGCCCTGCTAGGTGGCACGGCCTGTCCAGTTTAACCAGGCAAAAATTTTTTAACCACTCGCAACATTCCCCATAGTAATGTCCACCGGTTATTTTTTCCACGACCCAAACAGAGACAAAGAAGCAGCATTTTATTACGTTTCTTGATTCATAAAAGGTTCTTTATTTAGTGAAGCTAGTTGGATTACTAGTGGTTAATTGTAGGCGGTACCTCTCACGTTATCAAGATAAATTTGCGAATGTCCTACGCGTAGCGCATGTGCTCTCATGCCTTTAGCTTAATTTCTCGGTAAGTAGGGCACTGCTGTTGATTATATTGTAGTTTTAGACATTGTCATACACTGAGCATTCACTCTGACGTAAATTATTTGACTTTAGTGTCCCTTTAAGACCCTTTTTTGAAACTACCACATGTAAAAGTACTAGTGTTTGCCTCAATTTATTAGGCGGCGTCACTCCTTGTAATATAACTAGGATTACAGTAGTATACCAAATGTTGACATTTTTGCAATTCTTATTGCAAAGCACTTGCTTTCGGGCATTTTTTATAATGAGACTGCCAAAAAATTAGAGCTGTTTCACCTAGAGTGTGTCAGTTCTAGTTCAGTAGCTTCGTAATGAGGTTCAGATTATTTAGTAGAAAGCCAACCTTATGTTTTATCAAGTTCCTTAGATAATAGGGCAAATGCAACTAAAAAAAATAAAAAATGACTATGACACTTATAGTTGCAGAGAAAAAAGTTTAGTTCAATTTTTTTTCAAAAAGACGTACAGAACAACTGATTTATTAGCAACCTGCCACATAATCATCACACCAATCAGCTTTCCACTTCTTTTGTTTGTTTTTTTTGTTCCTCAGGCTGTTTTGCCATATCTTCAGTCTTTGTAGGCGAAATATGATCGATGGCCGTCAATCTCAACTCCTTGATATGCCAAACAGCCTTGAGAACGTGTACTCTGGCTATACAGGCTTTTTTGACAGTTATAATGGTTCCAAGGGTTTATATTCCAAGGAACACAATCCATTATGTTCTCTGCAATTATCATAGTTCCTCCACATTTCATGCAGGCACAGTTATTTGTAATCACTGTATGTAGAAGCTACACATCAATTGAAGCATAGGCATAGTAATTAAACGATAAATTTTGTCCCAGCAATGACACAGAATCAAGGCAAAGCTTACTGCCGATGCCCTTGCATGTGCGCTCCCAGTCTCGTTTATATTAGTAGTCAAAGTGTGTACATTTTCAAGTATACCATGCTTTATAAAAAAATTCTCTAATTTATTACCACAATATTACTTTTTGACATCAAAAATCTACAAATGTGCAACTAAACTGAAAATAAATTAGCCTTCATGTAACTCTCATATACATGAGGCAAGTGGACTCTGTAAATGCCACACATTGTATAGAAAAACAGCATCATGCACTTTAGAATAGCCAGAATACTTTTATAAAAGCTTACTATTCTCAAAGAACTGCCCCCAGCTTCAATTTTCTTAAAAATTAACTTTAGGCAGATAGCTCGGTTTGCACACGGTTTGTTGGCGGCTCATCAGTTGGTCTTGAAAAACTGGTCCTTCTGGCTCAAAACGTGCTAAAATGTATGGAGAACTGGATACTGTGATTCAAGGCCTCACTGCTCCCAGCAAGCAAAAAAAAAAATTTTTTTGATTTATTTTAATTTTACCCTATCCTGTGTGTCCTCAACCTGTGCTGAGAATACAAGACATCTTGCATATAGAGAAGGTCACAAGAGAGCCTAGACGGCTCAGGGCAGTGACCACATAACCCACATAGTATAGTGAAACTGGGCAGCACACTGGGACGTGACCAGCAGGTGAAAAAGCCTATTCACTGTCCTACAAAAGGTAAAAAAAAAGCTTAAAAAAGGGAAAGAAGACACCCACCCATTTTGTAGCACGAAGATTTCCTTGTGGCTTCGTGCTACAAAATGGGTGGTTGTCTTTTTTTCCTTTCTCAACTCTTCCTCCACCTTGCGGGTTTCCACAGAACTCATTTGCATTAAAAGAAAAGCTTAAATACAAATTCATACCACAAAGACTGAAATTGGCCGAGCTTGCTTTGGGATGCAAGCAGAATACATAATATGCAGTGTATACAAATTTAAAAACTTGGTGCCATGGCCGCTCAAAAACTACCATTGGTCAGAAAATAGTTATGGTTATTTTAACTTGATGCAAGTAACTCAAGATGCCAAGTCTGGTGTCATCAACAGTATCATGACAGCAAAACTTGCTCACAGCAAAGCACAAACATAGGGTGTGATGCTGTTGCTTAGCTGACCAAGAGTGCTGCATGCATTTCTTCTAATTGTACTTTGTGTGGTAGTCTCAGGGAGAACGGTAGAGAACAGATATTAAGGTGTCTCAACACATTCATCTTTGAGATACCAAAACTTGTCAATAAAAACGATTGTTATAGCCCCTTATTTTTCAATTTCATCCTTTTAACTATGGCCACACTTCATATCTCCTCCTATTTATTCCATCGCTCCTGATGCTCTGTTATTTATCCTTCTCAAGACGAGAAGGATAAATAAACTGAAAATAAATTAGCCTTCATGTAACTCTTATATACATGAGGCAAGTGGACTCTGTAAATGCCAGACATCAATTTTTTTCTGACAATATAACCTACAAAAAGAAAAATAAGCAGACCAAGAATGCATTAACCCCCCAACAAATATCTGGCAAAAGACATTGCACAACAACACTAAAACACTCAAACCTCGATATAACGAACCTGGATGCTGCGAGATATTGTTGATTAGAAAATGAAAAAATACCGTAATTACTCGAATCTAACGTGCACCTTTTTTCCGGTTAAGCGAATTCATAAATTGCATGCGCGTTAGAATTGAGTACGAAAAAAAATGAATACGGTCATTCTATTGCCATCGGCATTTTGAAAATGGCCGCCCCCTACGTGCATCGGCATGGCACGTCGGCCATTTGTGCCTGCGTTTCTCATGTGCAGCACTTCGTACATGTGCTGAGAAGTTCGTCATCTGGTAGTGCATTAGCATCGACGGCATGGAAGGGCCGACTCCAAAAACTCGACGAGTGCACCACGATGCCGCTTTTAAAAGAAAAGTCATCGCGTGTGCCGAAACGGACGGAAATCGGGCCGCAACGCGGTCGTTCGGAGTTCCCGAAACGTGCGTGCGGGACTGGCGGAAACAAAAGCAGAATATTGTCAACAGCAAAGATTCACGTAAAAACTTCAATGGACCACAGCAGGGTCGGTTTCCGCAAATTGAAGAGCTGCTCGGCGAGTATGAAATTGAGCAGTGAGCGGCACAGCCGCCCGTGACGACAGAACTGCTCTAAGGCTATGCAGTTAGCCTTAGAAAAAGGGCTAATGCCGAGCCAGTTTAAAGCGAACAGGTGCTGGCTAACTAACTTTATGAAGAGGAAAGGCTTTTCCCTTGGAAGGCGAATGGGCATATGCCAAAAGTTGCCGGAGGAGTACGAAGAAAAGCTTCACAGTTTTCAGAGGTTCGTCCTAAACTTGCGGCACAACGGCTACCTGCTTGGGCAAATCGGGAATGCCGATCAGACGCCTCTTTACTTCGACATGCCTGGCACCACAACCGTCAAGAAGAAGGGGGCGAAGCAAGTTCGCGTGCTGACATCGGGCCATAGTAAAACTAGAGTGACGGCAATGCTCCATTGCACGTCAGTTAGGCACAAGCTTCCCCTGTACCTAATATTTGAACGGAAGACGCTCCCGAAAAGAGTCGTTTTCCCTAGTGGTGTGATCGTGCGGGCCAATGAGAAAAATGGGTGCGCGTTGCAATCGATGTCTTACTTTTTTTTTCGCCGTGGAAACCGGGTGCGCGTTACAATCGAGGGCGCGGTAGAATAGAGTAAATACGGTAGTTGTGCAATAGATATAATGTTAGGAATATACCTTTGTAACAAATTTCTGTATATAGGGAACTCATTTCTATGTAAGGAGAAAGTTTGTTATAGTAATTACAAATTAGTGTATGAACTTGTGGATCATTCAAACTAGTTGTCTTGCCATGGTTGAAAAAACTGAACCAACAAATTTTTAGGATTATCTAAATAGATGCAAAGTAGAAGAAAAACATTTGTTAAAAGGTAGGGCCAGTACAAAAATGTCAATAATCTAACATTTTCCAGGGTGTTGTTCATTCATGCCTCACTAAAACAGTGCTTCTACATGCAGCAATTCTGGCACAAGAATTTCACTTTAATATCGCAGATTTACTGTCAGTAAAGCAGATGTGACGGCAAAATGGTGCATGCATAAAGACAGAGTTGTTAGTAAAGCTCTGCTTCTAAATAATGTGCCTTGATTGCAGTGAGGCGTTCCAGGTTCTCGCCATAGGAACGACGAAACCCATTTTCACATTCCTTGAGTCGTGCCTCAGCGTCGAACAGTTGGTCAACACTTCTCAATGAGAGGTAGCACCAGGCAATGTCAAGGCACAGCAATGCATAGTTGTCCACATTTGTCAGCAGCTCAGAATTGCAGGTCCTACAAGAAGGCATTTCCGCATTCAAAGGCTGTTCACAACAGGGCTCAAATGTTGAAACAAACAATGCACCTGCTTGCACACACCATTGTAAATTAAAGGGGCTCTATTGAAGCACCTATTTTTTATTTTTGGTTTGCGTAGACCGAGAGCTGGAGATAATTTTAGCATAGGTCTAAGTGCCGATATCAAATGATTTAGTATTTTAATCACGCAGTAAAGTCGCTACATCGCTGCCGACCGCATCACCACATAGTGGCTCTTGCCAGAACTTCGCAGGCGGAAATGACGCTGGAAAGTTGCCGGCATATGATTAGATAAATGTAACGTTAGAAGCGATCGTGGTGTAGAAATAAAGCTGAGGTTACTAATCTGTTTCATTTTTCTTCTCTGTGCTTTTTTATCGAACCCTAAACAGACGCGGCCACAATAAAAAAAAAGACTACTGTGGCTAAAAGCACGACAGAGACGCTGGCTGCCATTTCACCACTGGATTTTTGGCTTGTGCAGGTCAGATGTCCATACGAAAGACCTCTCTCTCTTTCTTCCATCTTGTTGCTTTTGGGAGCTTGCGAGCTGCCTTTGCACGTGTGCTGTTGAAGGGCTGCAGTGCACCATCAATTTTTGTCGGGCAGCTCACCGAACAAAAAGCAAAAAATCAACAGTACTTCGTCCTGGTAATTCCATGGGTTCCTTTCTCAGAATAAGATGAGAGAGTGACTCGGAGTGTTGTAAAAAACAGCGAAATATACCTCGCTTCGACACAGTAGCTTCCGCTCACATTCTGGCAAATCAGGCGTCAGGCACCACGTTTGTTACTGTGGCAACAAGGTCAACATTACTGTGAAAAAAAAAAATGACAAGCAACAATGGGGTGTGAGCTTGCACTACGCAAGTGCTTCCAGCTTGTTTCATTGTGCCAGCCTTCAGACGTCATGAGCGAGTGAAATGTGGTCAAGTGACCCCATAAAAATCGAGTTAAGGGTCGGCAGTTTTTTTTCCTTGTATTTTGAATTTTCGAAGTCCAATAACTTCAGACTACGAGCAATTATCACTACCGTTTTTTTCTGCATTAGTCTGTCTGTACTTCAACCTACACAACTCACGAATAAAACATGGGGGGTAGAATAGTGTTAAAGGGCCCCTTTAATGACAAGTTCTAAGCACTCATTGTCGCTAACATCCATATAACAAAAGAAAAAAAAAAAACAAGATCTACTAAGCATGAAAAGTCAACAACATGTGTAGAGCACATTAAGAGCTGTCACCATTTGCGTTCTGTACAATAAGCTAGTTGCTATAATAATGTGGCAGCACTTTCAATTCACACATAACCAGTCAGAAGGTTTAAAATGTATAAATAAAACTGCTTCAAAATGCACTATCTGCGTTTCACTACTATCCGTCAGTCATCCTGATGCAGTACACCGGTGAGCACCAGGTACTTGCAGAGCATGGCCATACTTTAGAACAACTGTAGCACAATAGCAGCTGTGTCCTATGTAGTTACTAAGGAGACACGGTAACATGGCGGTGGTCTTGCGATCATACTGATGCACTAGTTCCCTTTTCAAAATTGCGTTCAGGCAACTTATGGGGAAGCCAGCTTAGAAACTGGGGGTCTCTCAAGCAAATCAGTAAAGTTGGCAGGTATGACAAAGGAAATCAAGCAAATTACAACTGCCATAACTTCATTTGTTTTCGCTTCACTTCAGCTGGTGAACCCGACAGCAATGGTGGCTACCAAGCATACTTGGCGTTAGGGATCCGAGCTTTTGACATTACCGATACAAGCAAACTCCCCAGCGATTCTGTGTGTCTGACCCTGTCAGTCCTAGTCTATTGTGCCCATCAATGAATGTATAGGGGTCAGCCAGAGCAAGGAATCTGCTCTTTGCAAAAATACTAGAGATGCTCGATGACAGCAGCACATTTGCTGGAAATAAACTTCCAAGTCCCATTGCAGGTTGACATGTGCCACTGGCAGCGGTGATGATGAATAGTATGACATGTATACAGATGTTTACAGGAAGAATGCATCAGTCTTGCACAAAAGAATGTAATTGCAAGTTGCGAGGATGGGGATAGTGGTAAACTGTTACATACGGTCAACAAACCCCATCCTCACTATAAAATTATAGTAAAACCCTCATTTTGAACTCCGTTATTTCAAAAACCTGCTAAATTCAAAGAATTTTTGATGCCCCATATTTTTCAATGCAAGTTTGAGTGGATAACTTGAAGTAGCCGATGGCACCAGTCCAGTTAATTCGAAAACTTTGGGTGCACGCACCAATTCTCAACTCCAGTTTTGCCACAAATCCACGAAAACGACAGCCCTTGGGAGCCATAAGGCAGTGCAGTGTAGCGATACTAAACAGTGACAAGTTAAGAACCCCAGCCTCGCTTCTGCCAGCACAAAAAAATAGAAGGCATAATTGTAATAGACACAAATGTGAACCTACGAAAAAGATGTGCTTCACTGCAATACAGCAGGGACACGCAGGCAGCATGTCGCATGCATTTCGCAATGTTGGCACATCAATTATGATTTATCCACTCTTTCAAGAATATAAAGATATTAATAAAGGTTAGTCTGACAGAATTTGAGATGTACCAATGTGCAACACCAATGTGCAACACCCCCGCTTGCTGTGTACTACAGTCGACTCCCCTTAATACGAAGTTCACGGGAACCGCAAAAAACTTCGAATTAAACGAACTTCGAATTAAGCAAAAAGCACTAAAAACGGCACTTTTATTAGTTTAAAAGCGCGACAGTTTCGAGGAAAAATAGTCTGTCATCTTCTTCTGCTTGCCGAATCTGGCTGCGGCTAGCAAGTTTTGTAAGGAATACACGTGTCGAAGTGCATCTTCGGCGTCGTGTTCTCCAACAAAAAACCGCTGCGCAAGAGCAAGACCCGCAGCTACATCGGCAGCCCTCGGTGGTGGCTCATTTCCGATGTCGTCGTCATCATCGTCATTTTCAGGAATGCAGTCATCGGGCCGAACCATCTGCACGATTTCGCTGTCCGTTAGTGGACCGCATATTTCGACGTTGCCGTCCACAGCGACATACTCGTCAATACGGACGTCACCGAGAGCGGCGCGAAAGCTACCGTCGTCGAGCTCATTTGTTTGCACTTCCACTGGCGCGCAAGGAGAAGCATCCCCCGAGTTTTCCATGAAACCACAGGCCCGGAAACAATTGGCGATGGTTTCTTCTTTCACGCGGGTCCAAGCTCGCGCTAGCATGTTGATGGCACTAAGCAAACTCGCCTCGTATTGCGACGAGTTGTCCATGCACAAAAGCATGCGCTCGACGAGATGCTGCCTATACAATACCTTCACATTTTTTATTATGCCCTGGTCCATGGGCTGCAACACGGACGTCGTGTTTGCAGGCAGGTACACAAGACGGATGGCACTCAAGGCAGGTACGTTCATGTGGGCACTATATTGGTCCACAAGGAACAACACCTTACGGCTTGATTGCGCGAACTTGCGGTTGAGTTTGGTGATCCAGTCCTTAAATATATCGGATGTCATCCACGCCTTTCTGTTCGAGGCATAATCCACACGAAGCGTCTTCACGCCTTTAAAGCACCTAGGCTTGGCAGCCTTCCCGATCACAAGCAGGCGACACCGTTCTGTGCCAGTCATGTTCGCCGCGACTAGCACCGACTCTCTCTTTGCTTCTTTTGCCTCCAGAACAGTCGTCGTCTTTAAATGTCAGGGTCTTGTCCAGTAGCAGCCGATAAAAAAGCGCAGTCTCATCTGCATTAAAATGTCTGCCGGCTGGTATTCCTCGAGGTACTCGCGAAGCTTGCCCGCTTTCCATGTCAGGCACGTTTCCTCATCGACTGACTCCTTCTCCCCACACACACTTTTAAAAATCAAGTCGTGGCGATGTTTGAAACGCGTAAGCCACCCATCCGAAGCAGCGAAGTCGTTGATGCCCAACATTTCAGCAAGCGATGACGCTTTTGCCGTGACGACTTCACCACTGAGAGGAAGTTTGTTGTTTCGTGCCTCTCTGATCCAAATCAGCAGTGCTTCCTCCAACTCGGGGTAGGCGCCGGTGCGCATCCGCTTCCGCGATGTCTTGAATTTTTCACTTTCAAACGCATCCAATATTGAGCGCTTATTCTTTATGAAAGTCGACAGCGTGTTAGGCTTAATGCCGTACTTTCTTGCAATGTCTTGTTTGGCGGTGCCTCCCTGGTCAACTTCCTTCAAGACTTCGACTTTCGTCGCTAGGTCTAGCGTTCGGTAAGGGCCACGAGTTGCCATTATCAAACGTACGTCACCACCACAACACTCAAAATCAGAAGCGCGGAAACACGTGTGGAATCAACCCAGCGCGCGGGTGACGCGGTGACACACTCGAGTCTCGACAAAAGTCAACTAAAGAGTCAGTCGATGCCGCCGATGCGATTCGCCAGCGTTAAAAAGATTGCCGCTTCAAGATCTGTGGCGCTGCGGACAGTAGTGATGGCGAAGACACCAGCGTGGTCCGGCAGATGTTTTGGCATATGAAAAGTTCCCCATTTTACTGTAAAATTACGGTCGCGACGAGACTGTCGATTGAAAAAACTTCTAATTAACCAATATTATGGGTTTTTAACTTCGAATTATCGAGCATTTTTTTCTATACGATTGCATGCAAAACTGATGGGACCACTTGCTCATTTCTAATTAACCGAAACTTCCAATTAAGCGACTTCAAATTACCGGGAGTCGACTGTACCAATTTGTAACGCTGCCACCCGCTCTCCAGATGCACGCAGAATCCCTGGAGCAGATGAATTGTGCTCTCACTGCACGATACCTCTACCCAGTTCTAGTCGAATTTGCCCTCTTGGGTGGCCTAAAGTCAGCTCAAATCTGGAGCTCACTCACACTCGCTCAAATATATTTTGCACTTAAGGCTCAATCAAGCAGAATCCCTGTAGCAGATAAATTGTCTGTGCTCTCACTGCATGATACCTCTGCCCAGTTCTAGTCGAATTTTCCCTCCCGGTTGGCCTAAAGTCAGCTCAAATCTGAAGCTCACTCAGACTCGCTCAAATATATTTTGCACTTAAGGTCCAATCAAGCTTAGATTCGCCAAAATTTTCCTCGGCCGAAATCGTGGCTTAATCAGAGTCCGAGTAAGTCAAGTCACAATTCTGTTAGCATATAATGAACTTTTTTGGCCATGGTGCCAATGCTCTTTAACCCACATATCTCACAATCAGTGGTCTACGTGGCATCTCTTGATCTATAGCTTTAAATACAAGTCAACCGTGGTTGCAATCCAGTAAATACATTTTTATTAAAAGACATTTCTTACACAAGACATTTTATCAAGAATCTCTTGCGAAATTATTTGTGCGTAGAAGCAATCAAGGTACCCTTTCCTACCTTAACTCCCACCTCTTGATAAACAATGAGATGGCATACGAGAGTAGTTAGTGCATTGAAGTATCTGTGATATTGATTGATATGTGGGGTTTAACGTCCCAAAACCACCATATGATTATGAGAGAGGACGTAGTGGAGGGCTCCGGAAATTTCGACCACCTGGAGTTCTTTAACGTGCACCCAAATCTGAGCACACGGGCCTACAACATTTCCGCCTCCATCGGAAATGCAGCCGCCGCAGCCGGGATTCGAACCCGCGACATGCGGGTCAGCAGCCGAGTACCTTAGCCACTAGACCACCGCGGCGGGGGAAGTATCTGTGCGTGTGTATAGACACGAGTACAAATGCGAGCCAACATAAAGTCGACAGTAATGTAGAGCTCACACAGAAGACGAGCTCATGAAATATATTTCACGCTTACAATATATCGGACTCGGACTCCGCAAAACCTTGCCCAACTGAACTCATTCAGACTAATTCGCAGCGCAATCAGAGTCTGAGCGAGTCGACTCATGAGAGGTTGCCGAGTTATGCTGGTAGCAGCTCACTAGCAAGTTTTGGCAGTGCTCTCCAAACCTTACCTTGCATTTCAAGCCATCAAATGACATTCGTTACTAGAACCTCATCATAAGCAGCAAGTTATTAAAATGGGCAGGATTCTTGTTCTAAATGAGTACGCACTCGATGTCACCTGCAAGGAACGCTAGTGGCGGGATCACCCTTTTTAAGGTCGAAGCGCTTGCTGCATGTTCACAGAACTCGCTGCGCACCCTGTGTCCGAAATCCATATGGCCACTTGGATGGCCAGAGACCATCCAAAACACCCCTTGCACACCAGTACACAGACAGCGGAATGGCGTGTCTCTTTAGGTGGTGCCAAGAAGTGCTGACATGGTCATTCAGCAATCAGGCATACGACAGCCCGATTAGAGGCGCTGCAACTCCCTAAGCCCTTTTTATAGAAGAATATCAACACTTGCTGCCGAGAATTTTGGTTGCAGTCTAACAATGGCATTTGAGCACGAGACCATGAGCATTGATGACTGATGTTGATGACTTCACGTGAATACCTTCTACCAATTGGCCCTAAATTTCTAAAGAAGGCTCTTTACACTCTGAATAAGTACAACAAACTTTCAATAACCAAAAATAACAGCTGCCTTTGGACAACTAAAAACAGCACTCCACAAGCTTGCCACATTAAAAAAGTTTCTTTGACAAAAGTTTTTTTAGAAGGAACGACTGTATCAAAAATAGTTTGCCACAAATAACAAAGTCTTTGGCTTTAACACAATATTATTATTAAAACTTGATGTGCACTTAGTCGGTTGTTCAATGAACACTTCTCAAAAGAAATACTGTTAACCAGGCTACTAAGTTTGACTAAAGGTTATTTGCAGTTTTTCAATTTTTTCACGTAATGATAAGTGTACTTTCCATGCTAACAAACTAAATGACATTTCCTACAAGTGACACAAAAGCTACACTTAAAACTGACTGAAGCCTGTCTCTAAACTAAGCCGAGCAATGAGTGGGCCACAGTGACTTTTAAATCTAATTTCAGCGTACCTAAATTCTTTGTCAGCTTCCAGTAGCAGTGGCAAAGCCTCGCTGTACTTTTTCCGTTTCAAAGCTGCACGACCCTTCTCATGAAGGACCATAGCAACCCCAAGAGCCTTCCTTTCTGCCAGGGGGAGATTAATGGGCTTTCCGGATTGGTCAGCTATCTGCATATAATATCTGCTGCTCGGGTCATCTGGAAAAACAAAGAAAGTAGGATAGCGATGTAAAAGTGCAAGTGGAATGCTTCACCACATTGTGCCAAGAGTATATATAATATCTGCTGCTCGGGTCATCTGGAAAAACAAAGAAAGTAGGATAGCGATGTAAAAGTGCTAGTGGAATGCTTCACCACATTGTGCCAAGAGATCAGCATTGCCTATGAGTGGGTTAAGAATATGCTTAAGCACTCCGAGTACTTGCCTGAATCAACAGAGGACAGAAGGCCAGCATCCTCACGAATTTTATTCAATTCGACTTCCTGCCTTTCTCGATCCCTTGCCTCATCAGCAGTTTCCACAAGAACCAGTGCCATCAACTGCCCATTATGCTATGTAAGAAGGAGACACTCATTAGAAGCAATGAAATGAAATCCAGACAAGTGGCAAGAAAATTCCACAATCTTAATTACCCTGATGCCTTGATCTTGTAAGGAACTGCCATTCTGGATCACTCTGCCACCAGAAATCAATTTAACCATGGATGGGTCAACTCCACACATGGAAGCAACTATTTCTCGCAACTTCCAACCACTATCTTGAAGCACAACTTCAATCAGTTCAAAATCCTTGCGTTGTTCCTGGAACAAACAATCAAAATTATATTAAATGAAAAAAGCAACAGTAATCCTCTATATAAAATCGACAGTGGGCCATGAAATATCAGTGTTCAGCACTCAAGTGACAAAATAGCAGTAGTCCATGGCCAACTTCCAAGCCTGCAGTATCCTAAGGGGTCACGAACCACCCCTCATGCTTGGCGTTAAAAACACCTTGAAATGAGTCGAACACCTCCAAGCAATACATAGCAGAAAGAATTTTTCAAAAAGCTGGAGTAGGACCAGAGATACAGCGATCGCACTATTTCTCTCACATTTTTCCCCCTCAACTTGCTTCATTTTACAGGAAAGGGCATTGCCATTAGTGGTGCCCTGCCCAGTGCATTACATCACCTCCCTTCAATGTTTTGCGGTTGCCTTTTAATGTAACATGGTGATGCTGACGGTTGCTGCTGGCTACTCATATTTCTGGTTGCTTGCGTCTCACTGCATGCTATAGCTATGCACCTTCACTCGAGGGAACCTGATAGCGTTTCAAGCACCCGGGAGTAAAGCCACTGCAAGCTACGGCTTTGTCCTGGGAGCGAGCATGCGACCACTCGTTTGCTGTTAGCAGGCCAGCATTTCTTTTCTTTAGTTTGAAACAATGCCTGCTTGTAGCATGGTAAATTGCTCAAGCCAACTAGAGAGGCCTTCAAAGAAGACATTTCATGAGAATGTTCCATGAAATAAGATTAGGTTTTGCTAGTTTTACTAGGAAATAAGCAGCAGAGCATGATTGGGAATCGCCTGCATTTTTGTGAGCTCCCCTACAAGATGCACTTAAAGGGCCGGCTGAGCGTAATCCAGTGCTGTCACCTTGTATTGGCAAAATAAATGATATTGCTACATTCATGTATATTGATATTCTAGGGGGCGACACGTGTGTGTGCTTGACGAGGAAAATGAAGGGTTGTCTCCGCTCGATCGCTGGTGAACTGGTCGCACCGTTACCGCTAGTTTTAAAAACATCTAGTCCGCAGCCTCGTCAATACGGCGTCCGTAGCATATTTGGTGTAGGTGGTACGTTCCCTGTCTTCACCACGAAGCTCCGCAGTAGCCACACCGTTCAGTCTCCAGCCATAGCTACCAATGACGAAAACCCGTCAGTGTCTCCATCTGTAGCTCCAGCCACAACATACCTGACGATGCCCACCCCTCGTGATCCTGGTACATTCTCAGCACAACCTGGACTTGACGTTGACTACTGGCTCCGTATGTACGAGCGTGTTAGCCAGACACACCGATGGGACCTTACCATGATGCTCACCAACGTAATATTTTACTTGGACGGCACCCCAAGTGTCTGGTTCGACGCCAATGAGACCGAGCTCACCAGCTGGGATACCTTCAAGGAGAGACTACGCGACATATTTGGAGACCCGTCCGGTCGCCAAATGGTCGTCCGGTCGCCAAACCATCGCTCGACCCCCTCACAGAGCTTCTGAAGAAAGACGTCACATTTACGTGGGGTAACGACCAAGCTGCTGCTTTTTCTCACTTAATCACGCTACTGATGACTCCACCTATATTGGCTCACTTTAACCCATCCGCTCCGACAGAAGTCCGAACCGATGCTAGTGGTCACGGAATCGGAGCCGTCTTAGCCCAACGCCAACGGGGGACACGACTGAGTTGTTGCCTACGCTAGCCGCCTCCTCACAACTGCTGAGCGCAACTATTCCATTACAGAGCGTGAATGTCTTGCTCTTGTTTGGGCAGTCTCCAAGTTGCGCCCATATTTATATGGCACCGATTTCTCTGTGATAACTGACCATCATGCACTATGTTGGCTTACGTCACTGAAGGATCCTACCAGCCAGCTCGGGCGCTGGGCTCTGCGACTGCAAGAGTATACCTACACGGTGACGTACAAGTTCGGACGCCTACATCAAGACGCAGACTGCCTGTCCCGCTACCCGGTTGCCGAGTCAAGCACTGTGCACACGCTGACACCGAGCCTTGCGTATTTTTCCTTTCACAAATGACATGCATCGGTGACGAGCAGCCCCATGATGCGTCCTTGCGTGCTACCGTTGAGCACCTGGAATCACCATCTTCCAATCAGTCCCATTGCTCATTCGTGCTCCACGATGGTGTGTTATACCGCCAAAGTTTTCAGCCGGATGGGCCGGCCCTGCTGCTTGTCATTCCAAAACACCTTCGCTAGGAAGTTCATGACCTTCCATGAACTTCATGACCTTCCGACTGCTGGTTACCTTGTGTTACGCACTTACGACCGAATAACGCCGACGCTTCTTTTGGCCAGGGCTTGCACACTCAGAAGATACATTGCAGCTTGTGAGAAATGTCAGCACCGCAAAACACCATCGACACTTCCCGCCGGACGTCTTCAACCACTTGACATTCCGTCAGAACCGTTCTTCCGCGTTGGCTTGGACCTACTTGGCCCTTTCCACTTGTCTTCCTCGGGTAACAAGTGGACAGCCGTGGCCACCGACTACGCCACACGTTACGCCTTCACACAAGCTCTTCCGACAAGCTGCGCCACAGATGTCGCTGACTTCCTCCTCAAGGACGTGATTTTGCAACACAGAGCCCCACAGCAGCTGCTTACAGACTGTAGCCGCACCTTTTTGTCGAAGGTCATAGCCGACATCTTGCAGTCCTATAAAACGAGACACAAGCTGACTATGTCACACCACCCGCAAACCAATAGACTCACGGAGCGTCTAAATCGAACTCTTACAGACATGCTCGCTAAGTATGTTTCTACCAACCACACCAACTGGGATCTCGTGTTGCCGTAAGTCACATTTGCCTACAATTATGCGTGCCATGACACTGCCGGTTACTTTCCATTTTTTCTGATGTTTGGCCAAGAACAAACATTGCCTCTAGACACCATCATACCGTCCCCTGCAGTACCGACCAGTGAATATGCCATGGACGCTATCACTCGGGCCGCTCATGCACGCGAAATCACCCGTACTCGCCTTCTGACCTCTCAAGAGAAGCAACGGCTTTTGTATGACCAACGACACCGCAACGTACACTTTTCACTCGGTTCTTTGGTCCTGCTCTGCTCTCCGACCCGTGAAGTTGGCTTGTCAGAAAAACTGCTTACTTGCTACATAGGTCAATACCGAGTCCTTCGTGTAGTTACTCCTGCAACATATGAAATTGGTCCTGCCACCCCGTCGCCTTCATGTGCCCAACAGGCTACCGATATTGTACAAGTTGCGCGCTTGAAGCCCTACAACTTTCCTAGTGACGTTGACATTTAGATGCGCCGAGACGACGCTTGTGCCGCCGGGGGTTATGCTACAAGCATGTATATTGATATTCTAGGGGGCGACGCGTGTGTGTCCCTGACGAGGAAGACGAAGGGTTGTCTCTGCTCGATCGCTGGTGAACCGGTCACGCCATTACCGCTGGTTTTGAATACATCTTATCCCCAGCCTCGTCGATACGGGGTCTCTTCTTTTCCGTAACCATATTATCTGGTGTCAAACGTCCCAAAACCACCATATATAATTATAAGAGACGCTCTAGTGGAGGGCTCCAGAAATTTTGACCGTCTGGTGTTTTGTAATGTGCATCTGCTAAATCTTACAAAACACCAGACATTATAGGCCACAAGCATTTTCGCCTCCAATAAAATGCGACCACCACGGCCGGGATTCAATCCCAAGACTTGCAGGTCAGCAGCCAAACACAATAGCCACAGACTACTATGGCGAGTATATGTTGTCAACATAGCCAACTGCATTGCAGGTTTTCTATGTACGATTCTACACTGGTGGATTTCCTGCGCAATGCGCCACTGGTGTAGCATCAACAGCATTACAGGATTTCTATGTCCGATTCTACGCTGGTGGATTTCCTGCGCAATGCGCCACTGGTGTAGCATCAACAGCATTGGAATTGCATTTTTCGGCAGATACGTTTGAGTTTTCTAAAAAGTGCAGCATTGCAGGTTTTCTATGTCCGATTCTACACTGGTGGATTTCTTGCGCAATGCGCCATTGGTGTAGCATCAACAGCATTGGAATTGCATTTTTCGGCAGATACGTTTGAGTTTTCTAAAAATTGCAGATTCCAGGATGATGCGCTCATTATGGGCTATCCTATTGAAGAACCCAGTGGCACTGTTTCAGTGTCATACATAATTATTGAACCAGTGTGGTGCAGGCTACTGGGAGGTTGCCACACCGCATAACGGACACGCGACACTGGCGCTCGGGACACCCAGTTCAGGCTGAAATTGGACTTTTAAACTGATTTTACAAATTCTGGTCATGGCCAGATCGTAATTCTGATTAAAACATATGCACTGTAACACACACAAACATACGCACACACAGTGAGCGAGGCTCGAACCCACCCAGTTGATGCATACTACAATATGAAGATGACATACTACCACTACACTTCAAAAATGCAATATTGCATTTATACTTTACACCCAATTCCAGTAGCCAGTCTTTTCATCACCTTGTCTAAAAAAGCAATTTCCATTCCTCAGTGCTTGCAACAACCTGACAGAAGATAGTCATACATATGTCATGTGTTGCCCAGGATCATGACGTCCATCTGGCATGTTTTGTCAAAGAACGTGTTAGCGTAACAGGAGACGTGAGCTGCATTAAACTTCCAAGCAAACTTCAATGTGCTCTCCCTCGAACGTATGCTGATGCACAGGGTTCAGCAGATGACAGTTGGCCTCTAAAAGAAGTGAGTCCCTTTTTTTTTATACTTGCAACGAAGCTCTTCGATGTTTCAGTCGGTTTATCTAACTGCAACAACTATTATACCCAGTGTCAGCGGGACCAATCGCATCTGATCCAAACAGCGCTCTTCCATTTATGTTGGCTATTCGTCAATAATCTTCTGCAACATTGGATGACAGACGCCTGCCCACCTACAAGAAAGAGAACCGCCTTTCGTTTTAAAAGAGGCTGCCTAAAAAACGGCACTTCGCTGTAGCCTTCACGCGGCATGCGTGGCTACAATATTAGGCCGAGTCGCTTTATAGCCTTGTCTGCTTTACACAGAATGTTTTTTCAGCAAGCCCAAGGAATGCTCCATGATCCATTCAATTAAGCTCACTAAATATTAAGACAAAATTTTTCTTTCTCTGCAAGTTAAGGTACTTGATTGATTGATATGTCGGGTTTAACGTCCCAAAACCACTATATGATTATGAGAGACGCCGTAGTGGAGGGCTCCGGAAATTTAGAACACCTGGGGTTCTTTAACGTGCACTCAAATTTGAGCACACGGGCCTACAACATTTCCGCCTCCATCGGAAATGCAGCCGCCGCAGCCGGGATTCGAACCCGCGCCTTGCGGGTCAGCAGCCGAGTACCTTAGCCACTAGACCACCGCGGCGGGGCTTAAGGTACTTGACAGTAATACCTGTGCAAGCATCAGTGACAAAGGTGGGTACAGCTTCGGCTCCATAGCATTCCTCCAAGTTTCTTATTGGAGTTTTACAACACAAAGAGACAGAATGTATACAGCGTCTGTCTAAAGACTTTCTGTATACATAACTTGCATTTGAGTTAACTGTGGTTGCCATCTTCAAGTACCCCTTCCAATTCTTCGTGTTCCCCCTTGGTTCGACTGGCAAACAGGAGGAAGCGGAGACAGCATAAAAGAATGAGAGAGGTGAATGACTCTCTGTCATCCCTTGCACTGGCACTCTCAAACGAGATAAAAAGTCATGGTGGCCGCCATCTTCAGGTACCCAGCGCAGAGAACCTGTCTGTGATCTCACATGCAAGTTTTTTATATTTGTTCTTCACTGGACATGTTTTGTATCAATACTGGTAATAGTGCCTGCGTTTATTATTGTACATGTTTTTATTCATCTCAGTTTTCCAATTGCTTCACATAACTTTCAACAATCAGATTATCTTATTCTGGACTGTTCAGCTGTTCTGTCACATATTATTCTGGTGTTATGACATATCCTTTGTTTTTTACATTCTTTATGCATTCTCTTCTAAAGGGCCTATAAATGATAAATTAGAAAAAATACACAAAAACAAATAGAAGTGCTACAATCAACTAAGATTTTGTAATAATGTATTACTCTGGGAAAAGTCGTCAGAACACAGCTGCAACGAGAAATGTGAACTCCTGCCGAATACCAAATAACCCCTCTAACTTAAGGACCCCACCCGCAATAATGATTTTTTTTGTTTATGTACTGTAACTTGCAGCTCTGTCGTCAATAATCCTGAAAATAATTGTAAATGCTTCAATGTATTATATAATTATTGCTAGCATCATTCATTGTGACCAGTCCTAGTGTCACTTCGAAGCGCCTACATTAAATCTTAAATGAATATTCCAATGCAAGGGGGGCACCTAAAGCACTCAAGCTTAGGTGGCATTGAAATCGGAGCCTTTAACACTATAGCATTAAAGAGCTCATTTCACAAAAATTCTAGCATCGGCACCGTTGGATGTGAGCAAAAAATCATGATCTTGTGCGCGACTAAAAAATCGAGACAGATGCAAATAAAATAAATTCCAGGTCCAAGTGGGAATCGAACCCGGGTCGTTAGCGCGACAAGCGCGTGTTCTACCACGCAGCCTTACGTCTGCTTAAGTGTACAGTGAAAATACCTTCCTCTGCTTGGAAATACAGTGAAAGCAACGTTCATGCTTTACACGTGACACAGGTCCCGGATACATGCTTCACAATACAACATGAAATATTGCAGTGATAGTGCAAATGATTTATATGCGGGGTTAAATGTCGCAAAACTACCATATGATTACGAGAGACACCGTAGTGGAGGGCTCCGGAAATATCGACCACCTGGAGTTGTTTAACGTGCACTCAAATCTGAGCACACAGGCCTACAACATTTCCGCCTCCATTGGAAATGCAGCCGCTGCAGCTGGGATTTCATCCCGCGACCTGCGGGTCAGCAGCCAAGTACCTTAGCCATTAGACCACCACGGCGGGGTGCAGCAGTGATAATGCATGGTACAAGCATACAATGCTATCGGGTGTCAGAACCTTTGATTATAATAATAACTTCATGGTTTAAAGTCTGCCACCCACTACAAATAGCACAGACGTTACTGCACCCATTCCCTTAAAGCCCCCCCCTCCCCCACCGAGGTCAAAATCCGATTGTGGTGTGAAATTGTGCACGAGTGTACGACAAACATGGAGCCATGAGAATTTTTTGAAGCGGAGTTTTAATAGTGGAGTTCAACACGTTTGATTATTGAAACCGTGACAATTGCATCTTTCACTCCCTCCTGTGTGACACTCCATAGTATCCTTTGCAAAAGACACTTTTCCTTTTCGCCGAGAGCCCTTGCCATGCCCCTCCGAATCTTGCAGGGCATTGTCACCGCTGACGCGCTGCTTCAAACACAGTCTACTTCTGGTTGCCGTTGCTCTGTCCCTACAACAACTGCGTGCTAGTTGGCAAACCGTGGCTGCCGTGCCGGCCCATGCTTATACAAATCGTGCAGGTATGTACCCTGCATTGCGTGCATGTTTTCAATAAGTCACCAACACAATGGACCCGTCCGCACGCAACACGACGAACAACAACAAGCAGTGCGGATAGCTGCTGACTAACCCGAAGTCGTAGGCTCTTGCTCGACCAATCACAGCATATTTGAACGGCACGCAAGACATATTCGTACAGCGCGTAGCGCAGAGACTCGAAAGGCCCAGAAAGAAAGAGGGATTGTTTCTTGTAAATTGTGGCGCACCGGTGGCTCGTAGCGCTGCCACATGTCGAATCATTGACTGCAACGATATTCTGCACATGATGCACATGTTTACTTCAAATGTTTGAAAACGTATTGGAGGTAGTTTACGGGCCTTTTAGGCCATGTAGTGGGTGCATAGCAAGTTCAAAAACATTTCATGCACCAAGTGTTTTAAGTACACACGAGGGACAGGATATTGCTATTGCGTTCAACTCTTAAAGGTGAAGCTCAAGGGTCTCCCAATTTTTTAAAATAGGAAACCCGCACGCAGACATTGAAATCGTGGGCAGCTTCCCAGCAGCCAGAATCATCTGGGGGCAGCCCGACAAGAGAGAGAGAGAAAGAGAAGGCCGTTGAACAAAAGCGCTTTTCGGGTGCCAGCTACAGTATTGCGTGCACCCTGCAAATCTTCGACATCAAAAATACTTGCTTTACTAATGAAACATCGCACAGGGCTATGTCGCACCAGTGGCGGTGTTGCAAGGTGCTGCCAACTCTGATGAGCACTCGCATTCATTTTCAAGCACAATTAAAATATATTGAAGGCAACACTCCCTAACAATAATCAGTCAGAAGTGCCCACGTCTCCATGAAAATCTCACAACACAAACATCTTAAGGTGTCAATTTTTGTTCAGCAAATTCTTTTCTGGCTGTGTAGTTGGCAAAAATAAATACAGGCTGATACTTTTATTAAGAGTTCAGGCAAGCTTAGCGAGATTAATTCACATTTATCCAAACTTTTGTGTTCTTAACACCTAATAGTAGCACAAGAAATATAAGAGCACATTCCGTTTGTGTGACCATTCATCACATTGATAGCAACAGCATTTTATCACTGGCTGCAGCAAACTAGTTTCGAATTTGCGTACTAGCCATGCGCCTACAAGACAGCACAATTGCAACAGATTACATTATCCCACCAATAGAGGCTACACAGCATGGTATGCAGCAGTTGTGAACAGCAGTTTGAAGAATCTTTACAAATCACAATGTGGATGGGTTTTTCATTGATGAAAGACTGTAGCACAGTTAAAATAGACCAAAAGTTGAATTACCGAGCTAGAAGAATAGCCCAAATACAAGAAGAATGTAGCGATAGTTCCGAGGTTAAAAAAATTTTTGTCTCACTGAATAAATGAAAAGCTTTAGGTAAAAAAGAAAAAAAAAACGCACCCTCCCTGGTCAGTTGACAAAAATTCTGCAACCTACCAAGCCTCCAAAGACACACAGGAACATTTCTCCATTACTTTTGAAAATATATAACATTCCATGCACACAAGTTAGCTGTTAGGCTCCCTTCCATATGTATGTTTTCAAGATTGTAATTTTCCTAATTTTACAAAAAAAAAGAAAAAATCTTTTCCACACATAAATTATTTTGGGGGTTCAGTGGCACAAGGGTCAAATATGACCGAACAGCTCCAAAACAATGGTGGTGCATGTTCAATGCAGTACTGAATAGCAAAGGGTAACCGAGATGCAACAGTTAATAGGCCAAAGAACAAGTCCCTGTATACTGCCTGTAGACAGTAAATGACATATGTGCCCCTCGTCTGGTTTGCTATGAATGGCATAAAAATATGAATGGCAAAAAGAAAAAAAAATCATTGCTTCAACATGACCTGGGGCCATTTCTCGGCATCTTGAAGAAAGGCGGGTGCTTAACAAAGCCTTTGTTAGGATGATAAGAGTTTGTTAAATGGATGACAATTATTTTTAATGAGTTTTAAAACACCATTCTCTTCTTTCGTGAATGTGATTTATCCAACAATAGACAAGCGTACACGCACTCCCCCCCCCCCCCCCAGCTGCTTTTTTTAGTAATTTCCGAACAAGAAAAATGTGGTTATCGCTTACAGAACTAAACACGTGTTTGCCACTTAAAACACTACGCCGACATTATAACTTGTTAAAAATGACATTATAACTTGTTAAAAATGACAAGGCAAAATTTTGGACGTTTGGTTTGACAAAGCAGCATCGTAGCTTTGGCTAAAAGTGTTGGCTTAGCAAGCTTTAAACAACTAAGTAAAATTCGCGGCACTTATAAGGGCACTAACCTGGCGAGAGTTGATTATTCGTACTCTCAAAGTAGCAAGGCCTGTACTTTGGTACTTCCGATTAGCGGCCAATTTCGCAAGGGCATGAGATCTCAGTTGCTTGAGGGCAGCAAGCACAACACTTGGATCCAGCTGCAATTCAGTCGCATACCGCGCCACTAAAGTCTGAAAAAGACAACAATGGTTAAGCAAACATGTAGCATAACACAATTCATCAAAATTATACAGCTGATTAAAGCAAAAATTTACTTGTCCCAATGCATCCAGCGTTCACTTACATCAGGAATGGTACCTTCCTTGTCATCGACGGTAAAAGGAGGCAGCCACAGCTTCACGCTTTCGCCGTTCAGCTTTTTTCGAATGCGAGACACAACCTGGTCGTCCATCGACTCCATAGCCGTCGCACTACGCAGCAGTCAAACAACCTGATTAACAGCTCACGCTACTGGCGATTAACAGCTCACGCTACTGGGATGATTTCAGTAAACACTGAGCTAAAGAAATTTCGGGCAAACATTAATTCCTGCGACGGACGACCGCGTCAAATTTGATGCGACCAACACGACCATGACATGAACACAACCAGCGGGCGCGTAAATTTTGGCTTTATGTTGACTCCGCTCGAGTCGGCTTCGTACCGCCTAACGAGGCGTTACTCTTTGCAGCCTTGCGGCCGGTCGTTGAACAAAATTTTTGTCGCCAAGATTTTCTGCCAAATTGAAAATTTTTGTTGAAATCAATAGACACAACCGTACTTTAAGACAAAAACTAAGAAAGAAAATAAAAATTTAATGAGTATTTTATAAACTGCAACGCCGTGAATAAGAGAGGAGGTGACGTTAAACTCGCCCGAGCCCAACAGCCACCGCCCGCGTCTTTCAATCCGCTCAGCTCCCACTAAGGTTTCCAGAACAACTCGGCAGCCAACAATGCTCCCGGCTGGGGTAAGGCATCAGCATTTTTGTGACAGGGGGGAGAGTGGGAAGAAAGAAGAGGTGGATAGGAACACGAGCACCCTACATGGGCCTCGGGGAATGTGACTTGACGGCTCGCATTCGCATGCAGCAACCGCCAACTGTTCCAAAATGCGGGAAATAAACGCTTTTTGTCAGAACAATAGCGTTTACCGACCAAAGTTTTGATGTTTTCATCAGTTTTTCCAGTTTTTGTTCAATATTCCTTCAATTTACAAGATCTAGAACAAGGCCCATAGCCAAGGGGGGATGGGAGGGATTGTTATACCAAAAATAGTCAATTATAAGAAATAGTCATGGCCTTCAACAAGTGTGCATCTCCCTTCCTAAACTCCGAAAAAATTTACTGCATACGAGCCTGCCGAAAACTAGCCCAAAGGGGTCTGTGGAACTACCAGAACCATGGCTAAAGCGACCTCCGGTGTGTGCTGTGCATGTTTGTAAGGAAAGGGAAAGCACCAACAGGGTGCTTTGACCGTATGGTTCATCACCCTGTAACTTTGCAATGAGTAGTGTCACTCCTTAGAATAATTTGCAAAAAGTTCAATTTTGAACTGGATATCAGCAATATATCGTCAGATCACTTTAACTGAAAATGCGCTGTGATAAAACAAAACTGGCACCGCACGCAGACATGGGCGTGCATAGACAGACAGACAGACAGACAGACAGACAGACAGACAGACAGACAGACAGACAGACAGACAGACAGACAGACAGACAGACAGACAGACAGACAGACAGACAGACAGACAGACAGATAGATAGATAGATAGATAGATAGATAGATAGATAGATAGATAGATCCTGCCGTGAGCAGGTTATTTTTCACGCACTTTTCTTTCTTCTTATTTACATTAAATTGGTTCTAATAACTTCCCCTATACATTCCTTGACATTATTGTCTGTTAGATCTCATATATATATATATATATATATATATATATATATATATATATATATATATATATATATATATATATATATATATATATATATATATATATATATATATATATATATATATATATATATATATATATATAATTAAGAATAAAGGAGCACACTTACGAAAATTTGATAATTTTTTACTCTACGTTTCGGCCGTGGCACGGCCTTCGTCAGGATTCAGTCTTCGTCAGGATTCGGCCTTCGTCAGGAATCCTGACGAAGGCCGTGCCACGGCCGAAACGTAGAGTAAAAAATTATCAAATTTTCGTAAGTGTGCTCCTTCATTCTTAATTATATTTGCACCGGACCCACAGAATTTCTTTTTTGAATCATATATATATATATATATATATATATATATATATATATATATATATATATATATATATATATATATATATATATATATATATATATATATAGTCTTGGAAGAACGCTAACATCATCTTAATACATAAGAAAGGAGATGACAAGGACTTGACGAATTACAGGCCGATCAGCTTGCTCTCTGTAGTATACAAGCTATTTACAAAGGTAATTGCTAACAGAGTAAAGAAAACATTAGAATTCAATCAACCAAAGGAACAAGCAGGATTTCGAACAGGCTACTCAACAATTGACCACATTCATACTATCAATCAGGTAATAGAGAAATGCTCAGAGTATAACCAACCACTATACATAGCCTTTATAGATTACGAGAAGGCGTTTGATTCAGTAGAAATATCAGCCGTCATGCAAACACTGCGGAATCAGGACGTAGATGAAGTATATATAAACATTCTGGAAGAAATCTACAGGGGATCAACTGCTACTATAGTGCTTCATAAAGAAAGCAACAGAATACCAATCAAGAAGGGTGTAAGGCAGGGGGACACAATTTCTCCAATGCTATTTACCGCGTGCTTACAGGAGGTTTTCTGAAGCCTAGAATGGGAACAGTTAGGGATAAGAGTCAATGGAGAATACCTTAGTAACCTGCGCTTCGCCGATGACATTGCATTGCTGAGTAACTCAGGGGACGAATTGCAACTCATGATTACGGAGTTAGACAAGGAGAGCAGAAAGGTGGGTCTTAAAATTATTCTGCAGAAAACGAAAGTAATGTACAACAACCTCGGCAAGGAGCAGCGCTTCGAGATAGGTAATAGTGCACTTGAAGTTGAAAAAGACTATGTCTACTTAGGGCAGGTAATAACCGCAGAGACGAACCACGAGATTGAAGTAACTAGAAGAATAAGAATGGGGTGGAGCACATTCGGCAAGCACTCTCAAATTATGACAGGTAGATTGCCACTATCCCTCAAGAGGAAGGTATATAACAGCTGTATCTTGCCGGTACTTAGCTACGGAGCAGAAACCTGGAGACTTACAAAGAGGGTTCAGCTTAAATTGAGGACGACGCAGCGAGCAATGGAAAGAAAATGGTAGGTGTAACTTTAAGAGACAAGAAGAGAGCAGAGTGGATTAGGGAACAAACAGGAGTTAAGGATATCATAGTTGAAATCAAGAAGAGGAAATGGACATTGGTCGGGCATGTAGCACGCAGACAGGATCACCGCTGGTCATTAAGGGTAAGTAACTGGATTCCTGGAGAATGCAAGCGGGTTAGGGGGGACAGAAGGCTAGGTGGGCAGATGAGATTAAGAAGTTTGCGGGTATAAATTGGCAGCAGCAAGCACAGGACCGAGTCGACTGGCGGAACGTGGGAGAGACCTTTGTCCTACAGTGGACGTAGTCAGGCTGATGATGATGATATATATATATATATATATATATATATATATATATATATATATATATATATATATGCCCGTTTTTAAAGAGAAAACGGGTCGGAAATCCTCGCCTAGCGCTGACAAAAACCGGTGACGTCGCAGTGACGGGACGGGTCGTTTGACGGCTGTGAGAACAAGCCCGCCTCCTGACGGACGTCACGCAGTCAACTATTAATAAGAACAGCTGATATTGTGGTTACTGCACTACTGTCAATCCAAGCATACGAGTTATTCTTAAGAGAAAGGAAGAGAAAAGTGATCCCCGTTATTGTCTGCTTCGATGAGCGACACCGCCACAGTAGCTCACAAGGGATGGGGAGAGGGGGGATAAAAAGGGTAGGAGTAAAGGTGTAGAAAAGAGGAAGAAGAAGCGACAACAAACTGAGGGGATAGGAGAGACAGGAAAGATGGAAGAACGGTCACTGGAGTCCATTGGCGGGGTATACACTTGCGAGAGATGTTGTCGGCGTCTGTAGATGGCGTAGAGCAGGTCCAGTAAGTCAGAGCTACACTGTCGTCGAAGGTCGTCGGTGGTAGGAGGTGACGTAGGGCGAGCCCAGTCGGCCAGAGCTCGGATGACGCCGAAGATCGCAAGCGCGCGGGCGTACAACCGGTCGGCACGGAATCCAGCAAGCGAGCCCAATCCAAACATACTCGACCATGTTTAATACATTTCGTATGGTTCCTAAATCCTCTAGCCTTACTTCGTATAACAGCCCAATGTCTTGCTATCCCATTCATTGCTTCGACCTAGTGCCGAAACCGTAAAGTTTTTCATCGCAGGTTTCCATGTTCCCATTCTTACCGATATTCGGATTTCCCCTCGTATTATTGTGTTTAACGCCCTGGCTGCAAACTGAAGGTGTAAGGGTGCATGCGTAAAAACAGAGCTCTTCTGTAATGAAAAAATTGACAGGATGAGCAGAATATTAGACTGCGACCGATGGAGAGAACTGTAGGGCACCGGCACCCAGAACGGCGGAGAAGAAAGGGAAAACAGGTTCAGCCGGTTCAATGGCCACAAGGCCCAGCTTCAGCGAAGTAGTGGTGGGTGTAGGAAGGGACAAAGAAGCCTGCAGCGTCACAGGTGCAAGTAACCTCCAGGTGCAGGACACTCTGGCTGAAAAGTCACAGCAAGTGATAATCGCCAGGGACTCGATGTGCAGAAGCAATCAAAGAGAGGGTAAAAGGGGACAAGATGGTTTAAGTAGGGACGTTCCCCGGACGTAAGCTGGAAGCAGTCATGAGACAAGCGAGCGCAAAACTCACAACTAAACCGGATGGACGTGATAATTGCGGGCGGTCCAAACGATGTCCTAAATGAAGATTCGGCAGGATTTGCGGCCACACTGGCGAAAGGGGTCGATGACATGCACGTAATTTCCCCACAGGTACAGGTAGTGATATGTGCAATACCGGAAGTACCCATGTGGGATGGCAACCTGCAAAGAGCAGTTGTCGACGTAAACAAAGAGATATGGCTGATGAGTCGAGGGAAAGGCTTTGAGGTAGTGGAAATAAACACAGAGTTGCATAGGAGGGGTGGTTTTCAACGAGACGGAATTCACTTCGATAGGAGGCTAGGTCATGAGGTGGGTCGGTGACTTGTAGGACGCGCAGTAGCTTTTTTGGGTGGCAAGCAAGCCCGTCGGGTTGCAGGATAGCTAGTAACGAAAAAAAAAAAAACTCTTTGACAGGTGGTATGGACAGATACGATTCCAAAGTGGCACCAATATCTAAGATAGGTAGAGTCCGGGGCATAAATAGACGTAGCCACGAGCGCCGAGCCAATTCAGACATAGGGTATATTAACATGCAGGGTGGTAGGAACAGGCTGAAGCGGGAAGAGATAGAAGAACAGCTAAGGGAAGAGAGGCCGATGGTATACGGTTTTGTAGAAA